TCTCTCTCTCTCTCTCTCTCTCTCTCTCTCTCTCTCTCTCTCTCGCTTCCGCTCTCCCTCTCTCTCAACGCCCCACCACGAGTTTGCAAAGTACACTGACTGAGCGCTTAGTAGTTTCTAGTTGCCCCCCGAAATTACTTACCCTAACGTGCTGCTTGCCGGCAGTGCGACTCAAAGAGGACACCTGCCCCGCCCCGCCCCACCCAACCCTGGCCGCCGCCGCCATGCCACGCCCCGCACACAAATAGCCTAATAGAGAGCTCAGCAGGGCTGGGTTGGGCCAAACGCGCGGAGGCAGAGGCATACGCCGCCGCAGATCACAGGTTTGGATCACCGCATCCGAGGACTGGGGGCGCACTACTCGCTCGCCCTCCCCTTCTGCTGCGCACTGTATTTCTTTTCCATTCCGCTTGAAATAAACACAAGAGGAAGCTCGGCCCTCCGGCTGCCGGCGACACGCCTCTCCCGATAAGCAGATTTGCAGAGACGAGCAGCCAGCGCTGTGTGAAGCACGCTTGTGTGCGTGTGTGCGCCAGTGTGTGTGTGAAAGAGAGAAGGGGGCGAGAAGAAGAGAAGAGGGGGGAGTAAGAAGGGGGAGGGGTTGCCGTCTAAGACTCTCAGAATTCATCACATCGTTTTCCGATTGTTAATTAACAAACTTGTTCACTTTTTCCCGAACAAATCTCTACATCAAGTCCATTTAAAAGCAAACAGTTGCTGGGAAGATTGGTCGAGTTTGATTTGAACGATGACGTTAAGTCACCGCAAGAAGAGCCGATAAAGTATACGACTCGATCAATGACTGTCGTTTACTGATCAAACCTTTGCTGCAATGTTTGTCTCACGACAAGGGCCACGGAAAGAAAGGTCTGTGTTCAATGTACGCTAACGAAAACGGTAGATTGAGATCCTGAAGGTACGGTAGGCTGTCTAAAACTGGTTCGTACAGCGTCGACGCCAAGTTTATCGGAAAATCGGAAACGACTCCCGGAAATTACCTGATAGAAGCTCCACAGACCATCTCTTTGTCCTTCGTCAACGGCGACAGCGACAACGTTTTTCGACCATCCCTTTTCAGAAGACAACGAGGTCATCTGGTCTCTTACATCGTGTGCCCTCGCCTGCAAGGCACTCCTGGAGGCCGGCCCTGCCACTGCCGCACCCCGGCCTCACCACGCCGGGCTGACCTGGCTCTCTTGATGCTGCAGCTTGTCTATTCCGTGGCTGCCCTCAAAGCCTCCCCCTGCCCAGCCTGCCCCGCCAACCCCTCACCTGCGCCCCACCTCCACCCGACGACACCTCACCACGCTATGCACACACACCCTTTCAATTTGCATTTTGTTTGTGGAAGCTAAGTTTTAATTATCAAAGTTTGTAGTATCGGATGTTAAGAAAAACCCTGTTGTCAGAAGACGGAGGATGTGGTTGCCGTGCCGGAGTCAACCGAGCGGCTTCGTCACCGCGCTGTCGAAAAAGAGTGACGACAGGACTGCTGCAGAGGGCGGGGAGAGGCGGGCAGGCAAAGGGGTCCTGGAAGTTGTGCCGATCGCTCAGCAACTTTGACGTGTAGATGCACTATACACTGCAGAAGACGCAAATGGACCAGATGAAAGGGGATAGAGGACAAAGCAGGCAGCCCATGGGAGCGGGCGCGGGAGAGAGAGGGGTCGGGGTGAGACCCTCTCCCGCCGTTTCAGTACAAAACCCCTGAAAGTTCGTTTACCGTTGTTACCAACAAATGGAACGCCGCATCCGAAACCGGACTTTAAATCAAAGACAAACGTTTGTCCGTTTCCACTTCGTCCCCGATCGATCAAGCTAGAGCGGCAGCGCAGCAATGCTACCAGCCTCACGGCAGCGCCGGTGCCAAATCCGGACCAAAGTCGTGCCGATGCCGAGCCGCTCACCGGATGGGCCGGGGCACGCCGCGCCACGCCTCGCCACGCCTCGCCACGCCACGGCCCCGACGGGCCGTGTCCCCAGAGTTGCCAACCCCCTCGGGGCGGCCTCCACCGTAACCTAGTCTGTGAGTGACGCGCATCGATCACACACACAGACACACTCGCGCGCGCGTGCACACAATGTTTGTGTGTGTAGGCCTGCGTCGGGGAAGCGGGTGGTAGCGGGTGGTAGCGAGCGGTAGCGGTAGGGTGGTACAGCCACCACCGGTTTAATACCGCGCAGGCTCCGACGAACAAACAACATTGTTGAAAATGCAACATGGCCTCTTTCGTTATAAGGTCAGAATGTACGGCTACTGTCACAGATCGCAGCTGTTTTCTTTAAAAGTTAACATGTTTGGGATAGGGGGAGGGGGCTGTGAAACGTTAATTCGCGATATGTTTTGTACTTATTATTTTCAAAAAATGTTGTAAATTTATGAGACCCCAATCATGCTTGCCGATAAGTTCCAAGTTAATATACATAGTCTTTGTAGTGTTTACAATTTTGAACTGTAAGTTTACGAAAAACTTCAGGGATAATTGTCGCGTTAAACTGTTTTTCACAGTGGTGGCGGGAAAATCGTAACTTTCCTTTAATTGTCATCCCAATTATTCCCCAGCCGGTGCACACACGACTACCAAAGTGCTTAACCCCTGAGGTGAACACTCAGCCACAAAAACTGAATCACTTCTCCTGCGATACCAGCGACGTAGCTTCTGTCGGATTGGTGCGGCCCACCGGCCTTGCTGCCTGACCCGACGACCCGAGCCCGACGGGGGGAAGTTCCGCCGAACAAAGGGAATAGAATAGATTTCGGGCGTTTGTTTTAGACCCTGATTGCTGTGTGTTCACTCACCGCATCCGTATTTGTGCTGCTCGTCCGTCAGTATTATTATTACGCAAAGCCAATCAGACACAGGCTGGGAAAGAGCATATTGGAGGGGGGCTTCAGTAGAACGCACCGAGCAGCACCCAGCACGGCGGGAAAGGGGTATTTCTACCCTTCCCTCCTGCGCAGCCTCCCCCCCCCC